ACAACCTTGTGCTAAGTGTCGAATATGTGTTGCTTATGCAGACAGCCTGGACATCAGAGGAGAATTTGTACTAATGTTGTTCAGAGATCCACATTAGAAGTTCATTCAGGAAGGGATCCAGCTCAGAGGAATTGGAATTTTCAAGAAGGATATTTCGAGAAGTGGTTAGCAGAAGTTGATATTGTGGCTCATAAAGAGCAACCAATGCAGAACATTCACCCAAGAGTTTATTTCTTGACTCCTCAAGAACCAGAAGAGCTTGTTGCCACTGATGTTAATATATAGTTTGATGGATGAATTATCTTTCGGGTGTTATATTGAATTTATGAGATACATAATTTATCACATATGTTTTAGTTATCACTTGTCAATAAACAAAATTTTGCAAACACTTTTGTTTCATTTTCCTAGTTGTGAAGTTCATTAATTCCGAGGAAGAAATTTTATAAGGAGATAAGATTGTAATAACCTAATATTGAGAAATCGGATAAAATTTTGTCGACATAAAATGCATAATAGAAAAGATATGTTTGAGATAAGAGGTATGCATGATGCGAAAGTTATGAATGATGAATAGTTGCATAGTAGAGCAAAAATGCATAAAGATATCTCAGAATAATGTATGTTATAAAAATAAAATAGCTTAAAGGTGAATGCTTGTATGTGCATGTTTAGAGGATTTCATCTCCTAATGGTACAGACAAGTAAGTCAGTGTATCAACGGGATTAGAGTTATTCTACCACCCCAAACAAATGTAATAATTGGTTCACTAACCGTTGTGTCGAAGGGAAAATATCAGTCAGGGGCAAGTAGACCAGAGTTTACCTTCCCAGACAATTGTAATATTTACATTACTAACCGTTGTGTCGAAGGGATAATATCAATTAGGGGCAAGTAGACCAGAGTTTACCTCCCCAGAAAATTGTAATATTTACATCACTAATCATTGTGCCGACGAGATAACATTGGTCAGGTCAGGTAAGGGTCTTTCTACCCTGAACAATTATGATATATAGATCACTAACTGTTGTGCCGACTGAAGCCGATGAGACAATATCAGCCAAGAGTGTGTTAGGTTTGTTGACGGCGATTAGGTTTGTTGACGATGATCCTCACAGAACAAATGTGTATGTATAGTATAAAGTAAAAGTTAAAGTAAATATTCATATAAGATTGAATATGTTCATTTAGAAAAGATAATTGATGCATGCATTAACATATATCATATTGCCTATAATTACATATATTACATTACTTATAATTAAATATGAATGACAGCATATTATATGATTTTTTATAAGCATGCATACATATTATACTCTTTTTCTTGGATTACTATAGTTTAGTAGTATAATTAATCTTGAGTTATCATAAAATAACTCATTAGATTTCTTTAATATTATTTTTAAGTTTTAAATATTTGAACAAGATGAATAGAAGATGAGTAAATGTTTACAGAAGTCGAGAACAACAAGAAGAAATATATAATTTCTACCTGTTAATTTCAATTGCTTTCTTTAGTGGTTCTTTCATGTATTATTTGAATATTGCATTGTTAGTAATAGAATTAGAATAGTAGAGAATTGATTTTCAATGTCCGACAATCTGTTCTCGTCTTGATTAACTTCAAACCCCTGGCCGGATCCTGATAGCGAATTGGGTTCTGACCCCTCAAAACTAACCCAACCCAAAATTGCTTGACCTGAAACCAACCCAAATATCAAACAGGTCAGAAAATCAGCCAGAACCCAGTTGTCATCAACCCACTAACCCGAACCCGATCCTGATCCTCATAACCCGTTTTAACATAAGACAACAATTATTTGGGTCAATTTTGAGTTAACATCGGGTCAATTCGGGTGAGTAGGTCAATTTCGAGTTGCTGGTCAAATAAAGCTCGACTCAAAAAATTAAACTAGTTAGGATTTGTAACTCAAAACCTTGAAAATTATTTGAGACAACCTGAATCTATACTTTTCAAGGTATTTTCTGACAACCCCTGCCAATGATCAACTTGGATTTTTATTTGAATAATAAAATTTGGATTTAGAGCAACCCATACATACTACAAGACAAGCTTACTTGATAAATTTGATTCACTTATAATTTTAAATCAACAAGTTTATGATTTCTATCTACACTTCCTATCTTAATATATATTATTAATTTTATTTCATCTTATTATAAAGATTGGTAGACATAATTGGAGATGTTGCCTAAACTCTAAGCATTTAATGGAACAATTCTAGGTCATATTTGTTCAGCTTCCACATTTGAGCATAATTGTAATATATTCAACCAATTGCATACAAAAAAAAAATGATTGGCTGCAAGTCAAAACAGCAAAAATTAATTTATATTATGTTCAATAAAAAATTAAAAGATAGACATATGAAGTTGCAAAAAGCAAAAAAAAAGGTGATGAAGGAACATATACTTCGGTTGTTATAATATATTATCTGATGATGAATAGGTAACAACAAAAAATAAAGAAGGATTTGAGTTTGAAGATTAAAGGATAACCTTTAATGGCGAAGAGAATGACGATATCAATGATAACATTCAAAAAGGTCAAAGAAGTAATAAATTTAAACAACTTCTATTTCACAATCATTTAAAAGAAATAAATAAAGTGGGGATCAAAGCGTCAAAAAATCAAAAGGTAATTTAAATATAGTGGATTACTTGATTGTGTTACTAATTTGTTATTTTATTTTAAATTATATTGAATTAAATTTTAGTAAATATACAGAGTAAGATGGAAGAAGTGATAATTGAAAAGGATTTTGAAGATTATAATAATAAAGAATACAAGGACAATAGAGTTATTAAATATAATGATTCTTTAAACGATAATGAAAATGATGATAAGGTCACTATGGATACTAATCCTTGTGGCTATTTAAATTCTAAGTGCTTTTAAGTAAAATCTCATGGCTTATGCCTTGCCTCGCTAAGGCAAAACATCACAATTCTTGACTTCAACTTATTAATCATTGGGCACACCTGATTCTAAGTTTCAAAGAAGTTTGGCTACAATTACATGGATAGAAAAGCATGAATATATTCGTATTTCCATAACCAAACATCCATCTCTCCATGGAAGTGAAAGTGTATGCATCCATACATTAATCCACACATACTATACAAACTCATATTCATTCAAACGCCCCAAGAATAAACAAACTAGCTCAAGCGCATGCATACATACATCAACCCACACATTATGTACAAATTCACGCACACCATGACTAAGCAAACTAGTACCGCTTAACAATATACATCCTATTTTTTGCAAACTAATCATTTTTTGTTTGCATTATGTCTCCCGCTTCCATGTCCTATCTAATGCAGAACTTCAAGATTCAATAGTGATCTCTACCCATGAATTTTGCATTCAATTCCTCCAACCCATGACTCAGTAATCGAGTGTTGTAGTATCATAAGTTTGAACTCCATCGTGAGACTTAGTGCTTGCTTCTACCTACGACCTTATATGCGAGAAGTGATGTTTAATGATTGCTACCTCTTCGACAATTATTATCCATTTCGAAAGCCGGTCAATCCTATATTATGCTTTTGTAAATAAGGAGTACTTAAAAATAAAGAAGTTTGAGACAGCAATAACAAACCTTTATCCTACTAAGTGGGGTCAGCTACATGAATCTTTTTTCTCCATTGCGTCCCATTGAGTATCATATTTCACTTAATTCTAATAAATTAAGATCATTTTTTATATAACATACCCACGATTTTTTAGATCTAACTCTATGTTAATATAAGTCGAATCTAAAACATCTAATCCCCTAACTGGATCATTAGATGGTCGACATTTAATATGGTCAAACTATCTAAGACAACTCTCTCTAATCTTGTCTGTCACTGAAGCTACACCAACCTTTAACAAATGCATTCGCTCCGCATTTTGTCTCTAAGTATCAAGCCCACTCATTCGCATAAGCATTCTCATCTCAGCAATGCTTAACTTAGTTTTATGCTTATCTTTTATAGAACAATATTCTATACCATAAAGCATTGCAGGTCTCAGTACCATCTTATAAACTTTCCCTTTAAGTCTAAGTAGTACTTTTCTACCACATAATAGGCCCAATGCATTCCTCCACTTCAACCATGCAACTTGAACTCTACTAATAACATTCTCATCTATATTATCATCACTTTAAACAACAGACCATTCACTCCTTTTAATGATTTGATTACCCATTGTTACAACTCTACTTCTAGATCTACTACTACTAAAATTACATTCTATATATTCAATTTTAGATAAACTCAAACGAAAGCCTTTAGACTCTAATGTAGACCTCCATAATTCAAAATTTTCATGCACTATTTCTCAATTCTTATCCGGAAGAAGGATAGCATAAGTGAAAAGCATGCCACTTTGTTAAAGTTTATTAACAAAGATAAATATTTGTTTAATTTTATGATTTATGGCATGCAAATTTGAGTGTGAGTGTGATATCATGCTTTAAAGAATACACTTCTTCCAAACGGACAGTAGGTGCGATGTGGGTGTGATGCTTGCATGAGAACATGCACATAAGACGTATGAGGGATGGAGATTTTAGTAAGTGGGATGTGCGAAATGCATGAATAGTGAGGACAATTGTGAGGGGCTGCTGCCATTTATTGATGAGGTTCTGGTGGATAGAAGGTTTCAAATCTCATTTACTAGATGAGATCAAAATAAAAATAAAATCTATTGTCACTCCCCTATTTTCATCAAGCTTCAAACAGCTTCTCCATCTCAAGGCTTTCAGTATAGAAAATTGTGCCAAGTAGTACTACATCAATTTGAGTGTGTGATTTCTTGCAATAAGTTATTAATTGTATTGGAAAATCCTAGATCCTAAGACATCTTGCATCACTATATACAAAATAAAAAATATGCACTTGACTATATAGAAAATAAGCAGCCAAGTCAGAAAGTATATGAAACTACCATTTTGAATTCTGAATAGAAAAGAACTCTTACTTTAACTCGGCATTATTAGGACAGCCACCTGCTGCTTGTACGCAAGACCTTTTCCTGACACGCATGAAATCATGCACCTTACCAAACCAATCACATGATCGAAGAACTGAAAGTGCCTCTGAAGCAAGGCTGCATAAACAAAAATGTAAAACAACATTATGAGATGGTTTAAAATACTGAATGTTACATAGAGAAAATCTATTCTAATCGGATCTAGCAATGTTGCCATTCTAATATAGCAAAATGAACCCAACTGTATCTTTTTGAACAAGACAATAATGCACGTTAATGACCAAATCAAATAAGACAAGTATATTTTCAAAAACTACCGAAAAAACTATATCAAGATAACCACAAACCCATTTTAAAGAAAACAATCAAAACTCACATTTCCTTAAACTTCTGAAGCTCCTCCAAAGTGTGCTTCATCTCGTTGCTTGACAAAACAGGAGATTTTTCAGCATAGGATATCACATCATCTTTTTTCTCTCTGTCTTCTAATTTACGTTTGGATGAGATAAGAGAGTTCTGTCTGTTAGGAAGCATCGTACTACATGAATGCTCCAATCTAGGATCTTTTCTGCCATTCAGCAATCTGGAATTAGCATTGTCTTCATGTGGATTCCTTAATGGTGATCTGCATCTTCCATTTCCATTTGGCAAACTCTGCATAGCTTGATTTGTCACAATGACAGAGTTCTTACCAGCCACAGACGAATCATCCATATTATCTGTACCCAACTCCTCCAAATGGAGTTCAGTTTGCAGGGTATTCTTGTCTATGGCAAGAGATTGTTTCGCATCATTGTTTTTTCCATCAACACATGAATCATGATTTTCATCACCATTTGACAACAGTCCAGGCGTTCCAAAATTTTTTGAAGTAATAGGCCTGACTTGAGGATAAGCGGAAATTTTACCATTTTTAGGCAAAGGTACAGCATTTGCTGTTGCTAATGATTTAGAAGTTTCAGCAGTCTTCAAAGACGTCGCTGTGCTGCTTCGATTGGAAACTATGGCCTTCACTTCATCACAAGCTGAACCAGCTTTGGCCGACTTCTGATGTTGATCACAGCGTAAATAGAACAGAATGTATACCTTCTCTGACAAAACCTCTTGGGTGCTTGAAAGTGAAACATGAGCATCGTTGCAGCAATACCACCGGCCAAAAGCATCCTAAAGAAAATTATATGAATTTAATTCAGCACAAAAGGTAAACATCAATTATGTCACAGCATGAATAACAATCAAGCTTGCAAGTGCTCAAAACCTTGATATATGCATAATAATGCCCAGATTCAGGTGAATATCCTGAGTGCACAATGCTCCCAAAAAGACTGTACTTGGGCTCTGACTCCTGAAGTGGCATGAAAATAATTTAACAAATAGTTAGACTCATGAAAAAAAAGGAGCTAGGGGAAAAATAAGATTTGATGTTTGAAGGGCTTTGGTAAGATGTGATGGAGACATTAATAGCACAATAATAAGGTACTTGAAATCACTTCAAGAAGAAAAACAATTGGGTTTCATGAGAAAAACTGCAACACTAAAAAAATCCATTTAAACGGAAGTTTTTTTAAAGCATAAAACTTATCCCAGGGTCCGTTTGGGGGGGTTTATTCGCGGATTGTGTGTTTTGAAAACACGTCATATGCGTTTGTTTCGCGCGTGTAGGATGCCTCCCGTAAAACGCACAATTTACTTATAACAATACCGCGGCCCACGCCTATAGTGTCACGATCGAGCGTTTCGAAGGATTTTTACATTACTTACCCCTCTGCTTTCCCGAGTTTGTGCCCTAAACTCCCACAGCATGCGAAGAGGAGATCTTTGAGGATCTAGATCTATCGCCCTAAACGATCTAGATCTATCACCCTAAAACTGTTGCTCTCTGAGGATATTCGAACCATTTTCCTCTTCGATCCGCATTCTTCGTTCAGTAAGTTGTTGTCTTTGGTTATCGTAAGAATCATGCGTTTAGTATGGATGACTTCGTTTATCTTTGGTCTTCATAAGAAGCATTTCAATTTTTTGAGATAATCTCCATGGAGTTCTTCGATTATCGAGTTATCAGTTACATCTTATGGTTTAGGGTGGTGGTCACAATCATGTGTTGAGCTCTTTCGCAAATATGTTTAATATCTTTTATATTCAGTTTGTGATGAAATTTGTGCTTCAGAGAATCAGCTATATGTATTTCAAATCTTCCCCCTATTTCCTGAAACTGTTATTTCCTATAATTTTTATTGGTCGAATAGGCCAGAATGCGTACTGCAGTCTTGGAATTGTTTTTTCATGGATTTTTTCGTCCCTGGATATATAAGCTTTGTTGATCTGCCACAGTGGAATGCTGGAGATAATTTTTTGCTGCTATTCTCACTAACCAGTTATGAAATGAGAGTAAACTCATTAGCATATTTGGTCGAATACATTTTTCTGTTATTTCTTTGATTGAGGAATTGTTATGGAAAGACCGAATACATATCTATTATTTCCCTTATTTCTGCTATTTGTTTGTTATGATAGGTTATGAAATGAGAATAAACTCATAAACTGGCATTTTCACATGGAAACGTTATAAAGAGTTGGACAGTTGGCAATTAGCTTCTTGATAATACATGTAGCATCATTAAAGTATCTTGGATTGATGATAAATATTTTCTAATGTTGTTTGATATCAATTATTTTTAAATTTAAGCTAAATTATTTATTTTTCTAGCTACCTTAATTGGGATATCATTTTTGGCAAGTCGGTTTTGTTAGGTAATGTTCGCTAATGCTATGTTAGCTCTTTTAAAATTCTACCTCTTTACTTTAAACATTGTTGCTCAGTATTGTCTAATGTTTGTAAGCATTCTTGAAGAATTGAATCATTTTCTTATTAGTCTCATTATGACGAAGAACAAAGAAGCCTCTACGTCAACTATGTGGGATAAAGATGTCACCAACATTTTTTGCAATTTATGTATTAAGGAGATTTGGTAATGAGATTGAAATTGGTAATAGGCCTACCACCTATTTTAACAAAGAAAGATGACAAAATATTTTCAAGAAATTCAAGGAAATGACCGGTCGTGAGTACGACAGATTGAAATTCAAAAACAAGTGGGATCCGCTAAAAAAAGACTGGAAATTATGGAAGAAACTGAAACGATGATCCACGGGATTGGGTTGGGATCCTATCAAACGTACCATGGATGCTTCAAAAGAATGGTGGGCTGAGAAACTAGAGGTAATACTTTCGCTGATAAACTAGAGGTAATCCCCCCCCCCCCTTAATTCTGTTTAGGTTCTTCATTATTTAGCTTTCAATTTTGTCTGATATACCCTAATTCATATTGCAGACAGTACCAGCTGCGAAAAAATTTAAGGTGTGCGGAATTGACCCAGAATTGGAAGATAAATTGGATGTAATGTTCAAGGAGGTTGTCGCTATGGGGCAGAATACCTTCAACCCAAATGAGCTGGGGTTCGATGACATATCAATCGACTTGACACCTGATCAGATTATGGGTTCTGGTCAATGTTCTAGCATAAACCCGAGGGAGCTCGAGTCCACATGCCAATCGAAGAGGCGTAAGATGGAGAAAAAGATAAAAAACAACGATGTATTCGTGCAGAGCTCAATAGACAGACTAATAGAAGTATTTGCAGCTCCAAAAACTGTTGAACCAAAAGTGGATGATCCCAGTGTTGATCGTTCTATGAAATTTTTAGAAGACATACTTGAAGTTGTGACTGATAATGATTTCTTTTTAAAATGTGTTAAAGTCCTTGAGTGCCCAACAAAAAGGCAGATTTTCAAGAGGCTTCGGCCTGAGCTGCGCGGCGCGTTGAATACTTGCGTCTGTCGATCGAAAAATGATTGTTGTATTTGTGAATTTTGCTGGATATGTCAGCTATTGTTTTATTTTATTAGACACCTTGATGTGTGGAACTCTTTTTAGAATTATGTAGTTTATGTGCTAATTGTTCAGTTTTCAAATATTAGCATTGTTTTTTAACTTCTATTTTTTCTTATTTGTTTATTCAAATCTAATTATTATTTTCAAGATGAATCGATATCGAGAACGCCGCAAAAGAATGGCGGGGGGCGGGGGGCGGGTGCGATATATTATTGTTAGAATATTATCGCTCTACTATTGATCAAACACCACGCATGACCTCATTCATATGAGATAAATGAGTAGGCGAGATAATAGCTGGACATCCAATAAGGTTCAGCAACATATTTCGGATGAGGTAGGCGAGATAATAGCTGGACATCTAATAAGGTTCAGCAACATATTTCGGATGAGCGTACCAATTTTTATGGATCTTTTACATGAGCTTCGTACCGACCACGGACTTGAAGGTTTGCCAAGAACTACCACAAGGGAGGTATTTGACATTACTTTATACATTTTATCTCAGAATGAATCGATCAGAGGAGCTATGGAACGGTTCTAACATTCCTCCGAGACAATCAGTCGAGACTTCTCTGAAAGATTGAAAGCACTAATTAGACTAGTCACCAAAATAATTAAGCCAAAAGATCTGTCATTTTGTAGTACTCCTGAGAAAATAGCAAATGACTAATGCTACATGTCATATTTCAAAGTTAGTTTCTTTTATTAATGTTCTTGACTCCTAAACATTTTTTTTTATCACAATCACTTCAAATCAGTAACAAATGCAAGCAGAACTGCATTGGTGCAATTGATGGCACGCACATGGATGCCTGACTCCGGAGTGATGAGAAAGTGACATGCATCGACCGATGTGGCTCTCCAACTCAAAATGTTATGGTTGTTTGTGACTTTAACATGTGTTTTACTTTCGTGTTAGTCAGATAGGAAGGTAGTACCCATGACAGTCGTCTTTTTGCGTATGCAACAAAAAATAACAGACAGCTTCTCTCACCCACCTTCAAGTTGGCTTACTTTGTTGAACCTATTAGTTTTTATTTGTACGGATCAGTAAAAACAGTCATCTCTTTCGTGACAGTTAAATATTATTTGGTGAATGTCGGTTACTCCTTACAGAGAAGTTATTTGAAGCCATTTTCAGACACCAAATACCACATTCTTGATTTTGAGAGCAAGCGACATTGCTCGGGGTAAAAGGGAAATTTTTAATAAACGTCATTCATCTCTCCAAAGCGTTATTGAAAGAACATTTTGTGTCTGAAAAAAGAAATGGGTCATCCTTCGAGATATGTCTACATACTCTTTTACTAAACAAGTGCATATTGTGGTGGCGATGATTAAGCTCCACAATTTCATTAGACGACATCCATCTAGATCAGATGCATACTTAAATATGGCTAACACCGATGAGATGCACATCCCAGTTGAAGCATTTGAATTCCAGATTGGACAGCCTATTCCGGAATAAGTTATAGGAACCCATGAATTTGAGACCTAGGAAGGTGAAGGTGCAGCAGAGATGGTTGTTTTGAGGGAGTGTATCACAGAAGCTTTATGCAACTCCTAATTTTATCTTTAAGCTAGCTTGTAAGGTTGTGAGATTGGAGAGCACAATGGATGAAATTGCAATGCACTGCATTAAATTGGTTTTTGCAGTTTTGGCTTAGCTATGTTTAATGTTAAAAATGGTGTTGAAAGCTTAAATTTTGACTTGTGTCTTTGATGCATTATATATGGCTCATTTGGTGTTAAAAATGAATGCTGATATTGCCAAATATGTGTTGATTATCTCATATATATGGCTCATTTGGTAAAAAATGGTGTTGATTGGTTGCCAATGAATAATGATATTGTTTTATACATCGTGAAGGCTATACTTTACTATTTTCTTTTTTTTTTTTTTTCGTCATACTTTACTGTTTGATTTGAAGAGAAATGTGGTGAATATGGGAAGCTCCCTCTGATTATTGGGGTGACTGCTTCTTATGAGGATTGGCCTGTACTATGTTTGAATTGCTATGGTTTGAGGTTAATCCTCTTTGCATGGTTTGCTGAGGTTTATTTTGGATGGTCTGTTTACACTTTGAATGCTCAGCGGTTGCATCTTTTACTAGAGAACCCCTTGCAGATTTTGGAGGCCCGTGGCTCAATATTTATTACTATACTTTGCAGATTTTGGAGGCCCGTGGATCTTGGAATATAGGTACTCTCAATGGTAAATTAATGAAATTAGTTGATATTACGATTCATAGGAAAATTAATATCTTATGTATTCAAGAAACTAAGTTAGTTGGAGTAAACGTTAAGGAGATTGATAATTTAGGTTTTAAACTTTGATATTCTGGTAAGAGTCGCACTAGAAATGGTGTAGGTGTAATTATAGACAAGAGTTTAAAAGATAGTGTCGTAAAAATTAATAGAGTTGGTGATAGAATTATAGCCCTTAAGA